CGGCTTTCACCGCCATAGAACTGAAGAGTTGCTAGAGCTGGTGCTGGTGCTGGTGCTGGTGCTGGCGCCGCTGCTGCTGCTGCTGCTGCTGCTGCCGTGAGAGGATAGCGGCCGCATTCTTCCCAAGCAATCTGTCAAGAGGGTCGGCGAATGGACACATCTACACGTCCAGTAGCAAGGAACCTATCACACTCACGGTGCATGATAGACAACATAGCACTTGTAATCAGAATGAGGAGGTGGGCAAGCTTGACGGCCCCAGCTCTTTGTAGATCAAAATTGGGTTGCCGTCCAACGCAACCCTGAAGGTTGTAGCAACAGTCCTAGGGCACCTTCTCTTGGTGGGCTCTGGGGCTTGCATCCCCTCAGCCTCCATCTGCCACTGTCACGCTCACTCACTCACTCACTCACCACTGCCACCATCACCACGATCTCCACCTTCGTCACCACCATCACCTGTCTGGACCCCACTGCGTCTAGATCTCTAGACTTTCTGCTGCTACACCTCTAGACCTCACACACACTGTTTGGGGTCTCTTGCGGGGATAAATTATCTTTCTTCTTCTTCTTCTTCTTCTTTCTCTTCTTCTTCTTCTTTCTGTTCTTCTTCTTCTTCTTCTTCTTCTTCTTCTTCTTCTTCTTCTTGTCTTTTCTTTTTTCTTACGCTCTTATTTTGTTCTTCTCTTTGTCTGCTTATTCTTCCTCTTCTTCCTCTTTTCTTTTTGTTTGTTATTCTATTTAGATTTCTTCCTCTCTTCTTCCTACGTTCTTCTTCTGTTCGTCTGCTTCTTTTCTTTTTTCTTCCTCCTTTTCTTTTTTTCGTCTTTTCTTCTGTATTGTTATTCTTTAATGTCTTCTTCTTATGGTTATGTATTCTTTATGTTTTTGTTGTCTCTTCTTCCCCAAACAGTGTGGGCACACTGACACTGAGGGCTTCTTACGGTAAGTGAAAAGCAGCTGACGCTTAGATCGCTGAAGCGCGCCGGCGTGAACGGCCAATTCATTGCTATTTACAGTACATTCATGCCTCTCGACATCGTCCATGTGCATTTCGACTGCGCAGGCTCGCAGGATCTGGGGGCCCGCGGCGGGTGCTTCTAGCGACCGCGCTCTCGTTGTGGCGCCGTGCACATTTTGGTACATGGTGGTCACTTTATGCAACTTTTCGTGACAGGTGCAAGGGATCGGAGCTGTTTTACTTCGAAATGCAGTTTTCGTGGCACCTGCAGCACTTTGGACATGGTGGTGATCGTCAAGCAGCTCAGATTTCGTGACAGGTGCAGTGAATCGTCACTTTTGCACATGTGGCTCGTTTGCAGATTTCGTGGCAGGCACAGCAATCTGTGACCCTCGATGTGCAGATTTCGTGGCAGGCGCAGCCCTTTGCGAACCTCGAAGCGCAGATTTCGTGACAGGTACAGCACTTTGTGAACCTCGAAGTGCAGATTTCGTGGCAGGCGCAGGCCTTGGTAGACCTCGAGGTGCAGATTTCGTGGCAGGCGCTTTGTGAACCTCGAAGCGCAGATTTCGTGGCAGGCGCAGCACTTGGTGAACCAGCACTTGGTCGACCTGGAAGTGCAGATTTCGTAGCAGGTGCAGCATGGTGAACCTCGAAGTGCAGATTCGTGGCAGGTGCAGCACTTGGTGAACCTCGAAGTGCAGATTTCGTGGCAGGCGCAGCACTTGGTGAACCTCGAAGTGCAGATTTCGTGGCAGGGGCAGCACTTTGTGGACCTCGAAGCGCAGATTTCGTGGCAGGCGCAGCACTTGGTGAACCAGCACTTGGTCGACCTGGAAGTGCAGATTTCGTGGCAGGCACAGCGCATGGTGAACCTCGCAGTGCAGATTTCGTGGCAGGCGCAGCACTTGGTGAACCTCGAAGTGCAGATTTCGTGGCAAGACGCTCGCTCTCTCACTCTCCCGCTTTCACTCACACTCACACTCCCTCACACTCCCACTCTCACTCTCACTCACACTCTCACTCACACTCTCACTCACACTCACTCTCCCACTCTCGATCGCACTCGCACTCACTCTCATTCTCATCCGCACTCACTCCCTCACACACTCACTCACTCTCCCCCTCCCACACACACACCACACACACTCACTCTCCCTCGCACACTCACACTCGCACTCACTCACTCTCACTCTCACTCACACTCGCACTCACACTCACCCACTCTCGCATCACCCGCACTCACTCACACTCACTCTCCCCTCACTCTCACTCTCACTCTCACACTCACACTCACTCACCTCCCACTCTCACTCTGACTCACTCACTCTCGCTCTCACCCACACTCACTAACACGCACCTTCACTCTCACTCACACTCACTTACACTCACACTCACTCTCATCCACACTCACTCACGCCCACCTTCACTTCATCACCACCATGACCATCACCTCTCTGGGCCCCAATGCGTCTAGATCTCTAGACTTTCTGCTTACAGACCTCACACACACTGTTTGGGGTCTCTTGCCGGGATAATTTCTTTTTCTTGCTATTTGTTTGTTATTCGTCATTTTTTGCTGAGTCCGCACGTGGCTACGCTACCATAAAACTCGCAAGTGCGCAGGTATTGCTGCCTTTTCCTGGCACAAATGACTGAGCCTCTGTTGTGTCCGTGAAACTCGATTCCCAACCTTCTGCCTGCATGAGTGCATGATTTTTCCACTAATATATGCCTTTCTTGGTAGCATCTGTTTGCGCGCAAGACAGCTTGAAGTGAGTGTCACGGAAAAAGAAACAAGAAAAGCTAGAACTGTCAACCAGACCGACCTGGGTTGAGGGATCCTTGGAGCGCATGGCAGTGAGGAAGGCCAGTCCTCGAACTTGAAATTTCCGAGTCACATGAGAGGATCGCTTCTTCATCACGTGAGATGTTCGGGTCGCGGCCCATGAAATAATCATCCCAAGACAATGCCCCCTTCCGAGGACCTCAAAACTCCGAGGTTCCAAGTGTTTTTCTCTTATAGAAAGAACTAGACGACGGTTGGCCCGAGAGCGAGACACGTAATTGTCCAGCACTGTCGAAAAGAGGTATAGAAAGAGAGAAAGAGAGGGTGGGTGTGAAGGAGTGACAGTGTGGATGCGCAGGTGCGATATAGATCTGTAGTGGATGTACGGATGTGATATAGATGTGCAGATGTGTGGGTGTGGTGAGGTGGAGAGGTAGATCTGCGGATGTGAGCGTGTGAAGATGTAAATGTGGAGAGGTGAGGGGGTGTAGACGTAGATGCGTCGATGCAACGGCAGCGCAACGTCAACCTTAGTTGCGCAAGTACAACGCTGAAGAGGTTCAAATAGAACTGAAGAACGTACATTTCACACTGAAGTTTCCACGAACAGGGCGACCTGAGAGTAAACGACGTCACGATCATGACAAGCGACTCGTGTATTCCAAGCGAACATCGTTTGTCATGAAGGTGAAGTACACACATACTAACGTCACGATGACTCTTTTGTAGCAGCCACTTATGAGTAAGCAAAGTAGCTAAAATTTGTCAACCTCTCAAGAGAGCCGGGTGGCGCGAGAGATGACTCATCCGCGTACTAAAGTTGTACTACAAAGTCGCCAGTTCTCAGCTTCCAGCTCCACAGCTTGCTCCGCGTACTAAAGTTGCACTACAAAGTCGCCAGTTCTCATCTTCCAGCTCCCCAGATACTCCGCGTACTAGAGTTGTACTACAAAGTCGCCAGTTCTCAGCTTCCAGCTCCCCAGATTGCTCCGCGTACTAAAGTTGTACTACAAAGTCGCCAGTTCTCATCTTCCAGCTCCCCTGATACTCCGCGTACTCAAGTTGTACTAGAAAGTCGCCAGTTCTCAGCTTCCAGCTCCACAGGTTGCTCCGCGTACTAAAGTTGTACTACAAAGTCGCCAGTTCTCATCTTCCAGCTCCCCAGAT